TCTCTCTCTCTCTCTCTCTCTCTCTCTCTCTCTCTCTCTCTCTCTCTCTCTCTCTAAGGATCTATTTATATTTTTTTCTTATTCAACTAAAAGCTCACGGATACTGTCGGCGCGGGCTTGACATCGACGCAACAGTATTGTAATCTTACTTACTTTCCCGAGCAGCACAAAGCATTAGGTCAATGTTGAATCTACAGCGGCCAATCGTCCGCCAACTGTATAATATGTGCTGCTAAGATTCTTCTCTCTTTTATTAAATATCAGACATTCATCTATTTCATTTTAAATGTAAAAAGTGCAGTTTAATATGGCTGTAAAGAACAGATGTAACGCGAGTACAGAAGATGTTAATTATAGCTGGAACAACTTTACAGGCAACAGTATCGAGTGGAACTTTTGGCAAATATTTATTTTATATCTTGAAAAAATAAAGTACATTTCATATTAAAATAAATTATTGATAAAAAATCACTGTTTAAAAATAAATATTTTCTAATTATAACTAAAACTAAAAAAAAAAAATTAAAACACAAATTTAAGATGCAAGTCTTAGAAGAGAGATTCAAAGTTTTATGTTATTTTAACCGGCTACTCAGAGGTCAACTACTCTGGACACTGAAATGATTAAATCGTGGTCTTTTCGTGATTATTCTTATATTTCATATATTTTCATAATAATAAGCATATATACAGCCGAAAAATATACATCATATTTTTTTTAAATTTAAGAAATACTATAAAAAAGACGTCAATATAAAGTCACTTTTAAATCATCTGAGATTGAGATTTTAATCATGATAAAAAATGACATAAATTTAGTGAATATGACATTAATGACGTCAACTGGCATCATTTTGACTTTTCTGTTCTCCTTGGGCTAATATTCGAATTATGTTAGGACAATAGCATAATTTATTATATAATATAGCTTATTAGCTTATTAGCTTATTAGCTTCAATACTGCTATTGAATTCAGAAGATTTCTTCGAATTATACCGCTGTGATTAATTCAACATGATTCTTTCCGTGTACGTAACTTAACGACACGCTATACAATATCATGGTATGCCGATTATACACCGATAACCGTCGCGACAATCAACATGTTGATGCACCTGTGAAAAAGTTGCGACAATTTTGAAGATCCATTCCAACGAGCGTAATAAGACTTCCTCGTTGAATCGAAACGATCGAATAATTCAGCGTCGCAGGCATATAAGTGTCGTAAATCCCACGTAGCGAAATTCACCACGGGCTTCATCTGCACTATAGAAATCGCCGTGGAATCGTATCAGCGCTGCTGACTAAACAAGGCGACTGCGTTGGCGCAATCATCATTTTCGTTGAAATAGCGTTTTAATTAACAGCGACGACCATAGACGCGTTACGCAACGGCGCGGGATAATGATCGCCGTCCTCCTTCTACGTGCATCTTCAGATCCGTAGTTTCGCAGATCCACCGATACGCGGGGAGAGCCGTGGGTCCATAAATCTCGCGTGTGTATCCTTCTAAACGGTACGCGCCAATGGTAATTTTATTGGAGATGTACATGCACAATGCTTCATTAATCATCGTGAAGGGGAGGGATATACGTAGGAGCGAACAATGTCCATACAGCGCAGCAAGATTGCAGCAACATTGTGGCAATATTTTATCGCAAAATTGGAATATTGCGAAATATTGTTGCAAAGCTGTTGTAAGATTACAGCAACGGTAAAGTGTCTACTTTCAGAAATATTACAATGCAACATTACAGCAAAATTGTACTATAATATATATTTAATATTTTGTATAGATATAATGGTCACATAATAATGAGCATAATAGCCTTAAAACACCGAATTAAACTGTTCTAGATTTTTTTAAATGCATATCTTTTTATGGAAGATTTTAGAATAAAGTAACTTCATGAGTTCAGAGTCTCATGTATTCATGTATGATAATGTAAGATACTTTTTTGTTATATTGATGCAAATTTACTAAAAGTTACTCTCAGATATTCATATTACATTTTGTATGACATATTTTTTTGAACAAACTATGATCGTTCTTTTCGTGTTCCTTTTTGTTTTTCTATTTCGTCGCGATACCACTCGTAAAGAACGCATTCTTTCCAAATGGACTAGTAAAATTGCTGTCAAACTTACATATATTAGGTTGGCGAATAAGTTTGTTCGGTTTTTTAGAATGGAAAAAACACAATTTTTTTGGTATACAAAATAAATTTTAATCAATTATATATTGACCGCTTTTATCGATGAGCTCTTGCCATCTTTCCACCAATTTCATTATGCCGCGTTCGTGAAATATCTGAGACTTATCAGCAAAAAATTAGTTCAGGTCTTTTGATAGTTTCTTCATTTTTTAGACTCTTCCCGTTCGTAGAGTTCTGCAACGACCGGAATAAGTGATATTTGGAAGGGACCAGGTCCGGTGAATACGCAGGATGAGGCAAAACATCCTAGCCACCCGATGAAAAATTTTTCATGCATAATTATGTATGAAATTTATTTTTCACACATAATTATGTATAATTATATATAATCATATAAAATTATATATAATTATACACAATTATGTATACCAATATGTATAATTACATATAAATCTATGCGTAATTATGTAAAATTATATATGAATTTATATATATAATTATACATGATTATATATATAAGTAGAATGTTTGAATATGAATGAACAAATTTGATACATAATAATATATAATTATGTATAATTATATATAATTTTATATAATTTTATATAATTTTATATAATTATGTATGAAAAATTTTTCATTGGGCAAGATTAAGCAATTTATTCCGGGTGGTCAATGACGTATGAGATCTGGCGTTGTCGTGGTGGAAGACAACTATTTGTAATTTTGCCAATTCTGGACATTTTATACGGATTGTTTAGTTCAATTTCGTTAACTGTGAGCAGTATACAGTTGAATCAGTTTTGCATGACGGTAACAGCTCGTAGTAAATGACACCCTTCAAAACCTACTATACGAAGAGCATGATCTTCTTCGGATACAATCCCGCCTTCGAGGTTGTTTGCGGCGGCTCGCTGCTGTGCCCCCATGATCTTTTACGCGTTACATTATCGTAGACTATCCATTTTTCATCATTCATCACCATCCGCTTAAAAAATGGATCGTTTTCTTGGCGTTTCTGCAGCGAATCGTAGATGGATATGCGAGTGACCAAATTGACTTCGACTAGTTCATGCGACACTCAAACATTGAGTCAAGAAATATCCCAGCTGATGCAAACGGTTTTCTATGCTTGTATGGGATATATTAAGTACCGTCCCAAACAGCACCGACTATTAGTCGACTCGGCAGAAAAAGTCTAAAGTCGACTTTAAAGTCGACTTGAATGTCAACTTTTAATCGATTGAAAGCCAACAAATGGCTCGACTACAGTCGACCGTTAGTCAGCCAGTAGTTGACTTAGAATTCGATTTTATGTCAATTATAAGTCAACTTTCAACCAATTTTCTGAAATAGTCGAGCCTAAATCGACTTACAGACGATAATTAAAATCGACAAAAAGTCATCCTAGAAAAAAACGGTTAAACGTCGACTTAAAAAGTCGACTTAAAGTTGACTAAAAAAAGTCGACTATCAGTCGGCAAACAGTCATTCGTGGGGTAGCAATCTCCGTCGCACCAATTGGGATGGATTTTCATCAATGATGGCCAATGCCTTGACATCACTTGAATCAATCTCGGTTGGGCGACCGGAGCATCATTAACGTCGAAATCTCTAGAACGGAATTTAACAAACCACTTTTGGCATATGCGTTTTGTTAAGGCATTATCTCCATATATATCGCATATCTTTTTATAAGCCTCTACAGCTCATTTGCCTTTTTTTAAATAATAGAGCAAAATATGATGATAATACACGTTATTTACTTTCATTTTCACAGCTACGCAGCACAATACTGATGTTAGTCAAACCAAAATTCATAAAAAGATTATGTGAAACATAATCTTTTAAATGCGCATTCGAGTTGCGCGATAGCATCGAGAAAAAAAAGGGTAAATTGGAACGAACCTGCAATGAAGCAAAAACCGAACGAACTTATTTGCCAATCCAAAACCAATTTACCATGTCTATCTGACTTACTGCCACATTTGCGTACATCTGTCTATCTGGAGCACTGTAAAATTGTGATACTGATTGAATTAAATAATTAATTCTATTTAAAAAAATAAATATAAAAAGAGAGCCTACATACATATTAGCTCAGTTAGTTAGAGAGTTGTGTTGTTAAAAAGGAGAGGAATGCAAGTTTTCTCTTTGCTCTCTTTGGAAGACCTTCAAAGAGAAGAAGACCTTCGAAAAGAAAAACTCAATTCGTGTAACTCATTTTCCGTTATCTGAGAATCAGACAAAAACTCGTAGGAACGGAAACATTTCAATAAGAAATTTCTATTCAGTTAAATATTATTTCAACGTTGCTGCAAAAGTTATCTTGATCAAGTTTCAATGCAGTTGAATGCGCGTTTTCACTCACTATAACAGAAGTCCCTTTTGTCATCATTGAGTTTTTATCTAGTCCCTATCTTGTTATACAAACTGAGACTTTTCTGTATATAAGAAAAAGTTATAAAATATTAATACTTACAAATAGTCGAAATTACTTAAAGAAAAAACTCAAAACTAAACGGCTCCTATCGACCTATCTTTTTTATTTAGTTAAATATCTATATAAAACCAAGAAATATTTATCTTTTAAAAACTAAAATTGTGTCCAATTAGCTCTGATGATATCGAGATACAAAAGTGTTAACTGATTGTCCTTGATTATCTTTATTAATTATTATTATTACTATTATTACTGTTATTATTATTACTAATATTGTTATTATATCATTATTCTGCTCCCAGACATTTCTCCTGTGCTGCCTGCTAAGCTTCAGCCGAGCGGATCTTCCTCAGGAGTAAGTATGGGAGATATTTTCATAAAAATTTCATTACAATATCGAGTAAATTTGTCACAGAAAAAAAGAAGAAAGAGAAATTTTTTCTTTTTTTGTGTGTAGAGGATATTCTTCCCTACCATTTAGAAATTCGAGACACTCGTATCCGTGCGCACCTGTCGATGCGGCATCGTTGGACGCATTCGGCTCAACTATCGCGTGCGCCTTGAAGTTTAGCTCGATGAAGAGCGATGACAGCGAGTCCAGATTAGGTGCTCATGTACCAACACCCACGTATGTCAAAGTGTCGGCGCCTTTGCTGTACAAGCCTTTACCGAGAACGTCGTCCTTGGTATACATCGCGCCGCCTATCGTGAAGTCCGCGTCAGCTATCGTTGCTACGGAACCGAAAACGATGGAAAAAGATGCTCAATATATGGTAACAGACTTTTCCGAGCTTACAAATCGCTATGCACATATTACACTTCATATTGCGATCTCCCAAGCTACTTTAAGTGAACGGAAATAGCTTGTTGAGTTACACCAAGTTCCTCAGCAAGTTCCTGCTATGTCTGACAAGGATTTTTGTTCAATAGCTGCTCTAATTCTACGTCCTCTATTTTTCTCAACATTCCACTGCGTTCTGCATCAGTAAGATCAAAATTGCCACTTTGAAACTTTTGAAACCACTTTTTGCATGTTTTATGGGTCAAGAAAATACTTCAAGAAAATGCAAGAAAATGCAGTACTAAAATGTTAATATAAAATTCTGAAAAAAATTCTCAGAGCTCTATGAAAACAAAATAAGCAATTTTTATCTCTTGATATTTTTTGGTAAAGTTGATAGAATTCAAGTAAAAAATTATTGAAACCAATAATTTTGTAGATATTTACGTAAATATCTTAGAAAATAGAGGTCGTATAAAAAATTTTTTCAAGCAAAAGTTGTTTGCTTTTTTACGTAGAATAAAATGCCGTAATAAAAAATATGTGTTTCTATTTAAAAAAGCAAAGTTGATCTAACCTTGTTCTAACCTTGGTGACGCCATTCTACGTCAAATAACTACTATCGTTGAATGCGTTTTTTTAAACCTTACAACTTTTGTCTGAAACATTTTTTTCTAAAATGCATCGTTTATGACATATTTGGGTGTACCCAGACTTTTGGCCCACCCTGTATATGTAGTTTATGTTAAAAGTTTAAATATATTCGTATTTTTTAAAAACCGAAACAATACCCAGTAAACACAAAGTATCATCGATATTGTAATATGGATGATACTTTGTGTTTACTGGGTAAGAATATTCAGGATTAGATGTGTATCTGGAAATTAATACTTTTATCTTACTTTTCACTCTTTTCCACTTCGCAAATTTTACTTCTCTCATGACAAAATTTTGATAACAAAAATGTATAGTTGCGGCGAAATAACAAAACGTCAACCTCGGACTTTAAGAAAATTTCATATTTTTAGGCGTATCCCAAGTACTCTTTTAATTATGGAGTGATCGACGGATACACCGGCGATTCCAAATCGGCATGGGAAGAACGAGACGGCGACACCGTCAAGGGAGAATATTCGGTCGTGGAAGCGGACGGGACTATTCGAACTGTCTCTTACACGGCGGACGATCATAACGGCTTCAACGCGGTTGTGACGAGAAGCGAGCCCCCAAAGAACGCGCAGTCCGCAGCCGAGGTGAAGACGTTCGTGCCTAGTGCCGTATTTCCAAGCGACAGGCATAAAATCTAATATTAATTTTTAATATCCTATCTTTATATCTATGCAAAATGTTACATAATATTTTAGATTTATCAATAGTTCCTTGTGCTTAGGAAATGGATCGCATTTTCTCCTAGAATTTTTACATATCTTAGAAAGTGATGTCTTATTATACAACGTATCCAATTTACATCATTTCATATATTTTACGAGCGATTAAGGAAAGTTCTAGTTTAGATAACCGAAAAAGTATAAGATTTGTACGAATTCTTTCCAAAGAAATGTATAAAGATATTAATACAAGGTTTTGGCCATATTATTTATCATTGTTTTAAGTACAAGAAACTATTTTTTTTATTTAACCTTTTATTTGATAATGTTGAATTAATGAATTGCTCTTACACACACACACACAAGCAATATTGATTTCTCATGAGCGATATGTATGAACGATGATGTAAGAAAGACGCAGGATATTCATTTAGCACTATTGCTCTGGAATAACATCTAATTATCTATTCTATTCGTCGGTGACTTAATAGTTTCAATTCTTGCCATTAGATGACAAAAATCGTTGAAAATTTTCAAAATTTTTTTCATTTTCAAAGTGGAATCTCGAAAACAACGTAACTGTATTCAAGAGTTATCATTTACTTCATTTAAAACTCAAAAAATTTTTTCCTTAAAATTTTTAAGTCTGCCAAATAAAATTAAAAATTCAAAAAGATTTTGCCATTTTGTCGTCTAAGTTTTTCGTGCTAAACACGAAGTTTCCAGACGTTTCTAACTGATGAACAACTTTATAGCTCGTGTAATAATCTGAAACAAATGGGACCATAAAATTTAGAAGCTATATTAAATTTGCTGGAGAATAAACAAACTTTTTTTATATGCAGAAAGTGGAAATTTGACAAAATGGCAGTACTTCGAAGTTACAAGTTATTTTTGCTCTCTCTTTCTTATTTAGTTTCTCAAAAAGAAATACTAATTTTGGAGATTTTCCAAAAGATGTAGATTCATTTTAAAATCCAAAACTTGACAAACAACAAATTTCTCCCCCACCTTCCTGTCTCCTTCCCCCTCTCCCTCTATACTAACTAATATATAAAGGAAGATCTCTCAGGAGCAACTCGGCATCGGGTCGTTTCTCTCTGATGAAGCGGACTGAAATGTTCACAAAACGTCAGAATCAAACAAAGATGAATCTACGCGGCTCAAACCCGGAAACCAAATTTAATATGCATGGACATCGCGAAAGCCTTAAAAATAAAAAAATCAAATGTAGATTCATCGTCCAGCAAACTTAACACATCAAACTTAAAATATTTTAAATTTTCTTGTACCATTTATTTAATATCATTACACGTTCAGCACAAAAAACTGAAAATTTCTTTTTATAATTGCTTTATACTTAAAACAATGTTAAATAGTATAGTTACAACTTTATAACGATATTTTTATTCATTTCTGTGGACACAAAATTTTGTAAAACCTCGTATTTTTCAGTTACCTAGACCAGAATCTTTCCTTAAACATTTTTATCCAATATATACGTGTGTATTATTTTATATATATATATCATTAATTTAAGATTAATTAATTTAAGAAAACTAAAAAGTTTAAGGAAATTATATATTATATTAAATAAAACATATATTAATATAATTAAATATATAAATTGAAGAGATATAAATATATAAAAAGCAATATTATAAAAATTTTCTTATATATTACAGTATAATTTTCTTACTTCTTTGAGAAAACATTCAATTCCGTGTTCTGAGTTAGCGAACCTTCCCAATTTCGAATTTTATTTTAAATATCATATATCACGTAATAACTTGTAAACTTGTAACTTGTGTTAGATAAGAAAAAACAGAGATCTTTATTGTTCAAATACACGAGAGGTTACAAACTTCGAAAATTCAAGTTCTTTGATAACAGAATTAAAAATCGGAGAGACCTCAAATACTTCGATTAGAAATTAAAAGTAAAAAAATTGCATTGTTCCGTCGTACTATTCTAATAACTATTTATACAACTTTCGTCTTAATTAGTCGATTCCGAGACAGACAAATTTGCAATACTATAACAAATAAAATAACTTCAGCATCTCCAGATATTGCTGTAGATTTTATGTGCATTGGCTTTTTCTATCACTTACTTTACATATCATATGTGTATGAATAAAAGTTAATTCAAGTGTTTTTTTTTCATTCAATTTTAATAAAAATTTAAAGTAAAAATATTAATGTATATATATACATAGATATACATATATATGTGTGTGTATGTATCATGTATTTTATGATTTATATATATATATATATATATATATATATATATATATATATATATATATATATATATATATATA